TTCATATATAACATATAGGAGTGTTCATTCTGCTTATCAAGGTGTTCATGACATCCCTAGTACTTATTTATCTTATAACTGAAGGTTTGTGCTTTTGTCCACTTTCATCCAATTCCCCCTCCTGCCTCATGTAACCACAAATTTGATCTCTTTTTCTAAGAGTTTGTTTTACAAAGCATAATTGACCTACAACACTATGTTAGTTCTTGGTGCAGCACATCGTGATGTTCCTGTGCATTTCAAAATGATCATCTTGATGAGTGCATTTACCATCTGCCACCATAAAAGATGTTACGTTCTTATTACCCATATTCCCCACTCCGCACACTTCATGCCCACGACCCATTTATTTTGCAACTGGAAGTTTGTACCTCTAGGTCCCCCTCACCACCCGTTTCTGGCTTCCCCATACAACCCTCCTCTGACAACTTCTTGCATGTTCTCTGTATCTATGAGTCTGTTGCTGTTGTGTTGTTTGTTCTCTCATTTGCTTTGTTTTTTAGATTCCAGACAGAACTAAAATAAGTCTTTGTCTTTCTCTTTCTGACTTATTTCACCAAGTCCCTCTAGGTCTATCCATGTTGTCACAAATGTGAAGATTTCATTCTTTCTTTTTAGCAAAGTAATAGACCATCATATACATATACAATATCCTTTTAAATCTATTTATCTGTCAGGGGACATTTAGATTGCTTTCATAACTTTAAGTCTTTAATCCATTTAAATTTATTTTTGTATCTGGATTGAAAATGAGGACAATTATTTTTTGGTAGAAGGAGTGTATCTTCCTTTCATCTTCATATTTAAATTCTCATTTTACTAAATAAACATTAAGTATCTTGTCTATAACTTTAACAATATGTGTATGTACTTTATTACTTAATACATTAGACATAAATGGAAACATTTGATATATGACTTTAGTATTTTTATAATATGCACATTAGTAAAATTTAAGCATTGTCTATCCAGGAAAGTACAAGAATTCTTAAATGTCTCATTGACCAGACATTTCTTTTAAGGTTTCTGGTTCTCATATCATACTTGGAAAAGTGGTCCCTATCCCTATGTAATAAGAATATGTCACACTGGGCTTCATGTTTACACATGTTCTTTGTTGTAACGTGGTTTTCCCTAGTTAATTAAAAAAAAAAAACGCTTTTGTAATTCTAGGTCTTTTGTGATTCCGTATAAAGGAGTATATTTGTTCTATTTCTGTGAAAAATATCCTTGGTAAGTTGATAGGGATCACGTTGAATCTGCAGATTGCTCTTGGTAATATGGCCATTTTAACAGTATTAGTTCTTCCAATCCAAGAACATGGGATATCTTTCTATTTAAGTCATCTTTAATTCCCTTGGTCAGTGTTCTGTAGTTCTCCACATATAAGTCTTTCATATCTTTGGTCAGATTTATTCCTATTTTATTTTTGGGGTGTGATTTTAAAAGGAATTGTTTCTTTA